AAAAATACTTCCAAGGCCAAATACTACCATACATTTATGCACAGCCGCTAGTATGTGCTCTATGGTACAATCAGATAATATTTGAAAAAGTGTTGCATCTGACTTTAAAAGAACAACAACAATGACAACAACAACACACACACACAAATAGGCCACAACATGTTTGCCAAGTAAAAGACATTTAGGTTTTGTATATCAATTATAACATGAATCCTTCCATATTCATATTCCATTTACATGTTCAGAAAATTCTCTAACTGTAAAAAACTTGTTGAAAATAAGCTTTGTATACCAATGTGCTCATACATCATACAATAGCACTGAGACTTTTATACCTCTTCACAGGGCTTTACAGCCCTCTCTAAGCTGTTTACAGAATCAGCCTCTTGTCCCCAACAATCTGGGTCCTCATTTTACCCACCTTAAAAGGATGGAAGACTTAATCCCATTGAGCCAGTGGGAATCAAACTACCAAACTGCTGGTACAACTCTTGCACTTCTAGAATGATGGTGGAATCAGCTTATACAAAGAAGAAAAATCTAAAAAAATAGGAATCAGGCAAACAACTGCATTTAATTGAACAAATGCTCCAAGATTTATTTTTTAAAGATTCAATTACCTTAAAAAAAAAAACAAGGAGAAAATTGGAATACTCTTCCTCATTATTATTTTTTTGAGTATTCTACATGTACATATTCTACATAGTTGTGGAATGCAGGCAGTGGTAGATTGACTTGTAAGAATATTGCTATTCTAGCTTGTCCGGAATAACTTCCACATGATTGAACTAAAATTGGGCTTTAGTTGAATTTCTGGTGTACTAGGAGTTGCTCAGTACTGTAAAGAATGCTATATATGATGGTATAGTGTATCCATTTACATATTCTATCTCCCCCAGCCTCTCTCTCTGCACTATTAAGGTGCATTGTGTGAATGCCTAGTTAAGTATAATATATAAAAGCTGGTTAGAATCTAAAAAGCAGCATATGATTTGTGTGTATTATTGTTTTATTCATTACTAGTTCATAACCTATTGTAATTATGCTGAATTTGGCAAATGATAATGTTTCATTGATAAATCAAAGGCTATTTCTCAATTGTTTCCCCTCAGATTCCTATAACTCTTTCTCCTGCAAATGATGGCTAATGACTTCTGGTGCGTATTTTATCTTAGTTTTCAACATGTGCCTACATGTTAAGTAATTAATGCAAGTATTATTATTTTTTACTTGTGGATTTATTTAAGACTCACAAAGTACATTTGTTCAGGCAAATACCTTCACAAGGTATCTTTCATAACAGATAGCATTGGCACATACATATTTATCAGATAGCAAACATATTTATCAAAATTAAATCATCCTTTAAATAATAAAACACATTACCATAATGGCTTACCACTATGATAAAAACAACTTCAGCAATCAAGGTAACTCTGTCAGATCTGAATATCAATTTAAAGCAACAGTTCATAACTACCTTACACCAAAATTCACCATTCCATCTTTTTGAAAGAAATGTAGGGAAGGAACTTGAAGCCTGCCACAAAATACAATCTGAAGATGCCTTGTGTGCAATTTACATAGCATAATTATGCTGTAGGATGAACCAATCATTTGTGTGACATTCTGTGATTGCATCAAATTTATTTTTCTACACTCTGATCAATTTTTAAACCATCACTGGGAGAAACTATTTCCTTTGTATTGTACTGCCCGTAATTAAATGTCAGGAACAAGACTAACAAGGTGGCCACCTTAGATTCTCAGTGGAATTTCTATAAGAAAACTATTCCTTGTCAGGCACAATTCAATTCAAACTTGCTTCTTTCCTCCATAGCAAAGGCTTTACCATTCAGAGTTTTTGGAACTTTAAGAATGCCATATTGTTATGAGGTTCTTTCTCACATTTGTCTTATCACTTTGTAGCACCTTTGGCTGCTCATGTTTCCTTCTTTAACAAACAAACACCAAGAGAAGGATATCCATCTTAAGTTTATGTGACAGAATCTGAGAAGTTGAAGACTGCTGGAGAGAAGTTCCATGAAAGACTGGACATCCATGTTCAGCCTTTGGCTTCCTATTACCAACTTGCCACTAAATCCAGAGAAATTTCACCAGTATTTTCATATTCTTTGAACAAAAAATCAAAAGCAATTTATGCCAAGTTCATGCCAATTAAACAAGAATGAGCTAGATAAAAAGGAGGGGGTCTGGAATTGTGGAGTTGGTAGCCATCTTTGTCTAGAAATTTGATATGAAATAGTACATGCATTTTTTATTTTTGCTTCAATATTGGCTTAAAAGAATTTGTTGTGTTCTCTTTAGTTTCAGTAAGATGTTTACAGAAATATTTTATTTTACTAAAAAAAGAGGGAGGTTCATCTCTATTTATATTTAAATTCAGCTTCAGCAGTTTGGATGCCCAACAGATCTGTGGACTTCAACTCCCAGAATTTTCAGAAATAATCACGCTGGTTTTTGGAATTTAGTGAACTGAAATCCATTCACATCTGGATAGAAGCCAAGCTGAGGAAAGCTGCTTTACTTGTATATTTGTAAATAAAGCTTCCGGTACAAAACCATACCTTTTCAGTGGTGTCTCATCCTAGAAAACTAAATCAAAAAGTAGGATACCTAGATCATCTAACTTGCTGGGAAAATGAAGGGCATACAGCATCACCTTGTCTTATAACTTTCCCTTCCTTTCATGCTCTTTTGCTGGCTGTTCTGGATAATAAATTCTTCCACCAAGCTGTCAACTTGAACTAGAAGGCCAAATGCTAATGCTGGAATATTGCTGGTAAGCTATAAAGAAATTAGAAGATAAAATAGATGACTGGATTTAAATTTTTTAAAAAGTAACTAGGGTTAGAAAATTGTGTAAAATAGGCAGAAAGGTAAAGTTTGAAAACTCTTGAAGTTGACAAGAATTACTAAATTAAATGCAGATAATAATGTGTCCTTATGTCACGTGTAGGGATTAACAGCAAAACCACATATTAAGTGAGGTGAGAGACAGACCATCAAAGAAAGGACATCTTTGCAAGTTAAAGCTCCAGTTGAACAACAGGCAAAAAAAAAAAAAATAGGAGGAGGACCTAATACAAAACATTGCCTTGTGTTCTTGGGCTATAGATCTGGACTGAAAAATTATTGAGAACAATCAATTGGAAGCCAAGCTAAGAGTTTTTGTATTTTGGGTTACCATTCAATGACTGGTTGGATTTTTACTAGTCCTAGTATCAAACATGGACTGATATTTTTATCCTCAGAAAAAAGTGTTCCAGTTTAGTACTGCAAGATTCTGGGAGAAGGGGAGAAGGGGAAAATTAACACTTTTTATGCTTTGTAATTTCCCCGCTGTACATATAATACTTGACCAAACGGCAACATTTCAAGTGCATTATATAGCAAAGACAGAGAAAGAGAGGGTTTCGTATAGTGGTAAAGGCCCCAAGATAGAAACTGAGAGACTAAGAATTCTAGTCCTGCCTTAGGCACAGAGGCAAGATGGGTGATTTGGGGGCAATCTTTTTCTCTCAGTCCTAGGAAAAAGGCAAAGTCAACAAGTTATTCCCAACAAAAGCATTTGCAAATGATTTGATTAAAATTAAATGCTATCAAATTTCCTTATGGATCCACAACCCAAAAGGTTCCCTATTCATTTACAAATATACCATAGATTAACACTCAATAATACAGCCACTAAGGCCTTGCAAATTTTTTTCAAATACCATGTGCTTATATCTATGATTCTGAAATACACACAACAGAAGAAAGTTTGGTGAAGATGATAGCAGGTAATGGTAGCTAGCAATGCCACTACTTAAAGCACAGTACTAGGAGGCTGCTCCTTATAGGAGAGAACACTGAATTTCTGTTAGCCTTGCAAGGTAAAACAGACAGGAAATACTACTAGATGAACAATTCTACTTTATTGTAATGTTATTTTAACAGTAGAAATTGCCTGCCACCCCTTTTAACTGTGTGCTCCATTAGGATGGGTCCTTTCTAATATTTTTTCTCTGACCTTTAAGACACAGGAGGCTCGTGCCTCTTTTGTCTGATTATTTCTCAGGCTGTATCTCTTCCCCTCCTTCTCCAAGATCATCCACGCATTCCATTTCAATTCAATTCCCTGTTCAGAGTCCCTTAAAAGGAAATAGAGTAATCAGACTGAATGGAGATAACTTTGCTCTTTTTTGTCTTTTACTCTTTTCAAAAGGTGACAACCGGGTCTATTAGTGGTCTAATGGTAACATGGGATGGCAGTATGGTGGGATTGGATGGGGGACAAAAACAAACAATATGTAGGATATTGATTGAAAATCTCAGGTCAAAATTGGGTAATTGAATCTTCTATCATCAGCTTTCTGGGTTACAAAAAGAAAGAAGAAGAAAAATGCATTTCTTCCATTTCATTGTCAGGTATTCAAGTTCAGTCTAAGGTTCAATAAAAATAAGCTATTTTTAATTCTGCCAATTTAACTGTTGCCTTATTGCTGATAAAATACAACCCAGAGGTGAGTGACAAGCTCACCAGTGATGTGAAGGAGGCAATTGCTTTATGTATTCACTGAAAAAGCAATAAGACATGAACTTTTCACCTTTTGCTGAACCAGATGCCAAAAAAGAATTGACACGCGGCACAGAAGCAATCAATCTCATGAAAACAGTTCTCGGAAACTTTTATCTTTTCTCTGATCAGAAGCTGCTGAAGAGGAATCGGGATTATTTTGGATTGATACTCAGGGTGCAGAAACCTTTATCTGAAGAGGAAAAAAAAGTGGCTTTCTTATCATCATCACCATCATCATCATCATAAATCATCGTATAACTAGTTTAGCAATGGCTACAGAAAACTGCTGCTCTCAAAAGTAGAAGAGTGCGAAAGAATCTTTCGGTTTCACGGCCAACTTGAGATCCTATTGGATCTCAAGTTGGCCATGAAACCGAAAGATTCGTTCGCACTCTTCTACTTTCCCTGAGGCTTTCTCATAGTGTGTGTTCGGATCACTGGCAGATTCTCCCTAGGGATCCCTTTGACAGCGCCAGCTGTCCTTCTCAAGTGGTCAGTGAGACACGGAAATGCAAAGGGCTGAAAGAGGGCATCCCCATGCTGGATAACTTCCTGGATAAATTGTAAACTGATCAAATGAAATAATACCACACCAGATCTTAAAAAAGAATAAATTTTAAAAATGGCCAAAAAAGTAGAAGAATGCATATGTTCATACAATAACTGTTGGGAAATTATTTTTCTCTGACCCTTTCAGTATCTGGCCAGCTATCCACAAAGAGAATGGATCTTCCAAAAATGCTTTGTTCCTTCATGCGTTCAATTTAGCTAAGTACATGATAAAGGACTAGGAGTCTGTGTGTGCTTCATCCATGTCGATAACAATCAAAAGTAGAAAAGTCTGCCAAACTGGGCTTCACAGTTATCATCAGGCACTCTATGGGTGGTTCAGAAGTATTTCATCATCCCAAAGCAGTTGAAACCCATTCTGAAGAAAAGTAGATTCTGAAAAGACTTAGATTGATCCTCAGATGGGCCCCTAGGAATGTTCAGATTCCTTTAAAAAGGAATCAGAATCGTTACCTCTATTGCACTCTATTGAGTTCCAGTGTAAACTTGCAGATATTCCAGATGGTGCAATTGGAACAATAGGTAAAAATAATAATCCCTGACTTTGGTTTCATTCTATTTTTTTTTAACTTGTCTGATGTTGAGTTTTAACCACGAATCCCTTTCTGCATGTTTTTCTGCATGTACTGATTTGCTAAGCAAATTAGATTTGCCAAGCTAAGTTGAAACAAAACTCTCTACAGATTTGTGTGTATCTTTCTTCAAATATACTTTTATATGATGTGTATTTGGCTGCAAATTGTTTTTTCCAAGTCTTTTTAAAGAAAATTTGTTTTATATGTATACAGTATCTTGATATATGGATATGATTATAAACACACACACACACACACACAGTATGTGTGTGGTGTGTGTGTGCCTTTTTGTGAACAATTTCAACTGTAATCTGAAGCAAAAAGTCCTTAAAAGGCCTGTAAATATATTCTTGTTTGTACATAATAAAATAGGATTCCTTCTCCTGAAGGCCTTGGCTACAGCTTTCAACAGCCGTTTCAAATCTTGTCATCAATTTGTTACTTTTAATACAATAGGTACTTATTAAATATATAAGAAACAAACACATTATTAATGTACATCCAATATACCTTTTCCCAACTATTGTTTATGATACTTCATTCTATTTTTGGAATCCAGTTCTTGATATGTCCAAAAACTAAAGTAGTTTTTGAGCTGGACAAATTCTTCCACTTTTGATATTTAGGTATGGAAGTGTCAATTGGTTCAGAAGTGGTATTCAGCAGGTTCTGAACAGTTACGGAGAACCGGTAGCAGAACTTTTGAATAGTTCGAAGAACCGGCATATACTAACTCTGACTGGCCCTGCCCCCATCTATTCTCTGCCTCCCGAGTTCCAGCTGATTGGCTGGGTCTTCTTTTGTTGCCCTGCACAGGAGAACAGAGCTGGAAAGCAGGCTAGTGGGGTGGGAAGGGAATGGGGATTTTGCAGTAATGTTCCCCCAGGAATGGGGAAGGAATGGAGATTTTTGCAGTATCCTTCCCCTGCCATACCCACCAAGCCACGTCCACCAAGTCATGCCCACAGAACCGGTGGTGAAAAAATTTGAATCCCACCACTGAATTGGTTCTTTTCACAGAAATATTTGGTACAACAATGTGATTCTATCCCTGCCAGTCACTACTTTCCCTCTCCAACCACGCTGAGCAATAGGAGACACCATTAAATGCAACACAAATGTTGTCCTGAAATATAATGCACAGTATAATGGAGATAGACTTGAAGAAGTTATGCAGCAACTGTAATAAAAACATCCGCTCAGCCCCAAAAGACAAGAGCACTGATGAAGGATCTCTTTGAAATAAAGGGAGGGGGGAGAGACTCTGACTGTCTTGGATTCTATTATTATACCCCACACCAATAAAGTAAAAATTTAGCAACTTCTGTGGTATCTGTTTCCTCCCTCAAAAGGTTGACACATCAGCATAAATGATTTATTCAGACAGTTGTTGTATACTGCCTTGGTTCAATGATCTATCTGTCCCAATATATTCAATTCTGGTAAGCAGAGTTTCAGTCAGCAATTTTTTTTTCAGTCCTATCTAGAGATATGGGGGGGTCATGCCTGAGACATATAGTATGCAAAATAAATGCTCCACCATTGAGATAGAAATAGCAGTAGCATTTAGACTTATATAATACTTCACAGTGCTTTACCACTCTTTACCACACTCTTTACTCTCTAAGTGGTTTATAGAGCCAGCATGTTTCACCCAGCAATCGGGCTTCTCCTTTTACCGACCTGAGAAGGATGTCAACCTAAGTCAACCTTGAGCCGCTCAGAATCAAACTCCTAGAATGAGCAGTGAGTTAGCTTGCAGTACTGCATTCTAACCACGGTGCTACCACAGCTCTGAAGATACACCTTCAGAGAGCTGAAGTAGAGAGCTAAGAGTCCTTGGTAGTCTGATATATAAAATAAGACAATAGAAAGACTGATTAATGATAAATAAATCACCAGGAAAATGCCATCCCCATAAAAGCTCTAAAATTGATTTTGACTAAACCACTTGACCCTTGCAAGGATTTGCCTGAAACAAAATACGAGAATAGATTATTTGATTTAGAAATCTTTTCCCCACTGTTTTCTTCCCCAAAAATCACTTTGCAAAGTGTGCATTTACCAGCATTAAATAATTAATGGAGATGGCATATAAACCCTTAGGCAATGACACCTGCTGATCCAGGGAAATACTAATTCGAAAGCAAAGTCTTTCAGGCTCCGAACCTAAGTAGAGATTAGTAATTTAATACCAAAGATGAACTGGTCTCAATTAAAAGATTTCACTATCTCCTATTGTATGTTTTCAGAGCTTTCAGTCCATCCCATTCCTTCTTCAGTAACTGGAAGCAAACTTTGCTCCAAGGCTGAATAGACCAGTGGTGGTACTCAAAAACTTTCACTGTCTGTTCTGTGAGTGCGGCTTGGTAGGCATGGCTTGGTGGGTGTGGCAGGGAAGGAGACTGCAAAATCTCCATTCCCACCCCACTCCTAGGGGAAGGCTACTGCAAAATCCCATTCCCTCCACACCCCACTAATCTGCTTTCCAGCTCCGTTCTCCTGCAGGGCAACAAAAGAAGTCCAATCCAATCAGCTGGGACTCGGGAGGCAGAGAATAGATGGGGGTGGGGCTAGTCAGAGGTGGTATTTGCCAGTTCTCCTTACTACTTAAAATTTCTGCAACCAGTTCTCCAGAAGTGGTCAGAACCAGCTGAATACCACCTCTGGAATAGACTCGCCAATCACCATTCTGTTCTGATAAAATTTATTTGCATTTCTCTTTTTTCAATATGTTGGCATGGTAATCTAAAGACTGCTGGGAAAACATCTAAAGAAATCAAATATAAGACACTGAAGCTTTTGTGATGATTGGAAATGTGTTTTCTGAACACGTGCCACAAAACTGTCTTAATATTAGAGTACAGCGAAAAGTAATACCTCCAGTGTTATAAATTGACAACAGATGGCAGCACTAATGTGCTAGACACTGACATGTTTTTCAGTGTCTTTTCATTCCCTTCATTCAGTGAGTAGTTGCTGTGAGATTTGGGGTTGCTATTTTTCATTATTTAGAAGTCTACTGCGAATTCTCACCAGTGTACTTTAAGTGAACACCATGAGCAAATCTTCGACTACCACAGGAATCCTTCCGTTTGAAATTCACCATGGATGCAGGTTGCAGGTTGTTTATGGTGATGGCTATGTTTTCATGACTACTGTGCATTACTGTGCCAAGAAAACTAAAAGATTGAACTGGTTTTTGTGATGAAGAATGAAGTGGGCAGTCTGTAACAGCAACAAACTGTTGAATGAAATTGCAAAGAAAATTGCTGTCAGGATTGACAGTGCATAGAAATGTTAGGTCACATCCTTGATATACTTCAATACTGGAAAATTTGTACAAGATGAGCATATCTTCAGGGGCATCTATTTGTTTCAAATAAGGAGGTGGAAGAGATGAGATTTCATTGAAAAGACAAGGTGCGAGGTTCTTTGAGGAAGGCACTAACAAACTGGTCTTAAAGCGAGTAGAAGTGTATAACTAATGGCAGTTATTATGTGGACAGGTAAATACAAGTAATTCAAAAGCTTGTTTCAAGAATTATTTTACTATTTTATTTATTAGAGTATCCCCATTTAAACTAATTTTTTGGAGGTGAGGGTTTATTTTTCATTCAACCTTTGTGTGTTAGAAATCTCTTACACAGGAATTTCCGCATGTATAGCTTAATGATCATTGTGCTTCATTGTACAAAGCATTTTCAAATTAGGCTGATTTATGAATCAGATTATCAAATTAACTGGAGGTATTTATCCTGCTTTGACAATTCAGAATTGATTGTTTTCCAGTTTTGAAAATTGAATCTGGTCAGCTCCATACGATTATTACATATAAGCATACCTTTTCTCATACTTTTTTTCTGCATAACTGCTGTTCAAATACATGCTATTCATATCATTGTGATAGTATACACTCATTACAACCAGAACAGTAACCCGAGAACAAAATAGATAGCAATTGATACCACTTGTCCTTCCTATACTAGAGCAGATGTCATAATTACAAATAACTCCAGACTTACACCCGCCTGCAATATCTAATCAGGTGGTATTATGACAAGAAGCAAGAGAAAGTAACTTAAGTTCATTCCTGAAAGCTAATTAAAGAAAAAGGAGAACAATTTGGCAGCTATCATTCAAATAGTAATTTATGATGTGACTTACGATGGTTATTAACTAAACATTTGCATCTTCCTGGTAGTTGTGCCCTCCTTACCTCTTGGAAGAAATCATGCTAGAAGAGCTTGTCAGCTGGGTAGGTTCTCCAAATGAAGAACGTAATCCTAATCCCAGGGTAAATGTACTGAATCCCTTACCTTCTGACCTGACAGGCTGATTGAAATGTAGCTATTGAATGGATGGTGTTTGCCTTGGAATGTTGTCCTGTTAGCATGAGTTTCAAACCATATTTATGAGGAGG